AGCAACAAGAAGGTCTTACTGGGTGAATTTCCATTGTTGTAGGCACTTCACTTTTGTCTTTCAAAAGACTTTTGAGATTTTCAACATTCGCCTTCTTTTGGGATATAATCTCGACGCGCGGCCCCAAAAGGATGCCGGGACTGGACTAGGCAATATCTGGTTATTCCGAAGTTCGATATAAATGATTTTAAACTTAAATTTTGCAGTGACAATGTAGTCGTTTTAGCTAAGACATGTGCAAGTATAATACGCAATTTTTCTAGTTTTACACATTTTGAAATAGAAATTCCTGAGGCAATACTGCAAAAGAAAAAGACGTCTCAGTTACACCACCACTCAAGCAACTTTCTAATCACTTCTAGTCCCTTTTGAGCAAAACAAATTGCAAAAACAACCGGCACTAAAAACGGAATCCCAATTACTTTAAAAAATACACACAGGAAGCCTAGCACTAGGTGTTCGAGTTTGGCTTGTAGCGGAACTAAAAATCAACTAGGCATGTCTTCTCTCTGATATCCAGAGTGTTCTAGAATGTTCTGTCGAACAGTGTGCATGTATGCCCCAGTGAACGCTCAGCATTGGATTTCTTTTACCGAGTTTGTAAAAAAAACTGTCGCGGGGAAGTTGCGCAAAATTACACTTTCTCACCGGATTGATAACATACCTTTTACATTTCTTGTCTTGAGTAAAGTTTTTGACATTACACTGCTTGCGCTCTGCATATGATTTTAAAAAGGTATCATTAATCATCACTCATCGTCACTTTTACTATGAGACACACTCTCGATATATCTTTTGGATTAAAACACAATGTCAGTTTTTATTGGATTGATATTACAACTATTTAAGTTTATGTGTGCTAACATCGACTTGTGCTGTAAGGAATTAGTATATACTTACTGGGGGACAAGTCTCTTGTTCAAGTCTTTGTCCTCTAGTGCATATGTCTAGTGGAATATGAAACCTGAAACGAAAAATTTTCGATTAAGCACTACTGAGTAGGAATAGCAGAAAGCAGGCCAGTTTTTCTTCCACCGAAATTTGACTTTGGCGAAAGCGATGAAATGATCAGGCAACTGCAGTCAGTTGTTATTATATTGATATTACAACTATCCAAGTTCATGTGTGCTTTAACATCGACTTGTGTTATAGGAAATATGACTGTATTTTCGAGTCCTAGGAGCAGCATGAAAGAAGCAGTATGGCCGATTTCGAAAATTCAGTAATCAGTCGTAATACCAATGTATGTCTCTATAAATTTAACTTACCCCTACATTTTAAGATGATTCACATGATTCTTGTGTAAGCAAATGCCCCTTTTCCGTATAAGTCTGTTGGATAAATTGGAAAATAAAAGCAACAGGTTATTGCAGAGATTATATTTTGTGAATGAACTGGATGTTATATAGCTCGATCTATGTTCATCTAACGCTTATTTTTACCATTTCTATCCTGCGCATGTAGGTCTGTTGAAATAAGTTGGAAAAAGAAATAAAGAAGTTATTGCGTTAATTCGTACTTTAATAAGCGTTCAGCATCCGCTCATAAAGACTTATAAGTCGTTAAAAGAAGTTCTTAAAATGAATTTTGCTTAACATGAGTTCTTTACCTGCCTTATTGTAGGAGCCCAATTAAAAAGATCGTTACCTTGACTTATGCAAAGCATTTTGTGAAACTTTTTCAGTCAACCATAACAGGAATTTGACAAATCACGGCACGGAATCAGGAACATGTAATTTTAATGAGTAAGAATCACTCAACCTTTTAATTTAAAAATGTGTCATATGCAGAATTTTATGATTAGCGTCTGTTTGGAGTACATATTTGTCGAATAAGACAAAAAATACAGATATTTAGAAGAAGTATACTCCAATATTAGAAAGAAAACACCAAGATGTACAAATAGCCAGCTCATAAAAAAAAACTCACTTGTGACTTTACGGCTCATTGTAATGGAAAACAAAATTTGTGCATACTATGTATTTTTTAAAACAACGGTTTAGCATTGAATACCAAAACTCAAGTTGTTTGGAAACTTTATTGAGTTGAAAACTCATCAAATATTCATCCATTGAATTCAAAACCATTCAGTGAGCATCCGAGTCAAGCCAGACCTATTCAAGGGTGTCCGCTCATGTGACTTTTTCGGGCTAAATCCGAAAAATAGCGTGGGATGACAAATGGTAAAAATATTTTGTATCGTCAATTTTTTCATTTCCTGAACACTCTTCGTACTGAATTATCATGGCTTGCTCTACCAAAGAGGCAATGATATGTATAATGTTTTTATTTCAGTGTGTACGGAGCCATTATGAGAAAGAGCTCATATATAATAACCATTATAACTGACTATGTAATAACAAATAAAGAGGCAAGATTTGCTGTAACTCCGAGTTTCGTGCTACGCACTCATCAGACAGTATTTAATCTGTGTGTAGGCACGAAACTCGGGGTTACAGCAAATCTTGCCTCTTTGTTACGTTATTGATTATATACTTAGCTCTACACTATATGTGTATTGAGCACTCTTTATTAGCCATTTCGACGTTGCGCAGGGGACTGGGCACTAATCAAAGAAATATTGATCTAWTCACGAAACAAACCCCACCAGTTGAAAGGACACCCAAAAATTAGTATATATACCAAGTTTCAAAACGTTTGGATAAAAACTAGCTGAACAGTATTTATTTCTAGTTTCATCAAATTAACAGAGAATGTATTGTTTTGGGGGACGCGGTCAAAATCCCCATACATTCTCTGTAAATTGCACGGCTTCTCATTAATTGAATATTTGTCCAAATGATCTGTAACTTGGAACCTACACTAAAGTCGATAAAGTCTTTTTAGCGATATGGTTAGTTTTTCGATTGGCTCAATATGACAGAAATTACAATTCATTTTATAACATAAAAATGGCTAATTGGGATCAGCTACTTCCTCATATGATTTAGTCTCCTCATGCAGCCGTTAGTTGGTTCGTTCCCAGGTCACTCTCCCTGTGAACAAACCTCCTAACGGTTGCGAGAGGAGAGTACAAAATTAAAGCTTATATAGACGGACGATAGTCACAGAACGCTGACAACTTCAAGTAAGGGCACGTTTTCTTTGCTTGATTTCTCCAAATCGGAAACGTCACACATAATTGAAGGCGATGATTCGTTCACGTTTCCTGATTCCATATTGTCGCCGTTTTCCAGGACTCCGTTTTTCCAGGAAATCCAGATACGTAATTGCTTAGTTTTTGTGTTTTCGATCTCTTCTACTGCCTTGTCTTGTAGTTAATTTGTTAGATACCACCTTGTTAGAGTCAACGATTTCTTTCCAAAGACGACGAAGTTGTTTCACATCACTTCCTTCTTTGCAAAGCAATATCCTGACCATACTTCGCAATCCTTGGTTAAAATCTTTACTGAATTGAAAAAACACTACAGGATTTAAACAACAATTAGCGTAGGTAAACCAATGGCATATCATTGCAACATAAACAGCCTTTTTGTACTTGTAGCCATCAGCAAAGTCTGACCACAGCCAGAAAACCTGGTTAGGCAACATGCAAAGAACAAAAATTATCACAATTGTTGAAAACATCTTGGTAACTTTGCGGTTAATCTCTCGTCGTATGAGGAAACTTCTTCGCACACTTGGAGTGATGCTGCTAGTTTGTTCTTGAGCTTTTTGGATCTGTTTAACGGTAGTACTTGAGTGGTAGAGGCTGGTCGCTGAGCGTGTATACATCCATAGCATGAAKAGCAAAGGGAAAACATACTGAACAACAACTAACACAACGGTATAGGTCTGTCGATATGCAAATACTGGCCAATGTTCTGTACATATCTGGTTATCTATAATGTCTAAGTGCACAGCATAAGGGACAACAATAAGCATCGAG